GACTGTGGTAGAGGAGATATACTGGAGGGTCTCCTCAGCTGAAGATTTCTGGTTTCTAGGATTATCTTGCGAGAGCTCACTCTGTGTGTCAGCGCCTCAATATTCTATAGCCTTGGGCTTTGTAATCAAGGCTTTCAATTGTGTCACCATAGTAGCAATTTGTAGTAAATGGTTATGAATGCTGGCAAAGTCTGGGTTGGTGTGTTAGCAAAGGAATCAAGGGGAGGCCTGATATTCCAGCTGGGGGTTTGTTGTTATTTCTAGGAATATTCTTGAGGGGTTGCCTTTGTAAAACTCCACCATGTTTTCCAACTGGTGCGGCGTAGACACAAGTATGAATGACTTGATTCACAGTTACCCACAGGAAATCACTGACCCAGTGGGAAAACTGACCCAAGGCACATCAAATCGTTAGGAACTTTGGCTTGATAGATTTAAATATCCCGACTCGGAAATTTCCAATTCTCAGTTTCTTGAGACAGTCAATTTTTTCTTCTAGAAGGGCAATAAAAAATCAGATATAGAAATAAAAATAACAGAATATCAGAAATAGAAAGCTCATCCAGATATACTTAAAATTAGATGTATCAAACTTCAACTTCCATGCATATTTTGAAGGCAAAGATGAAGGACCAATATTTGTAAAAGCGTCAAATGACCAAAAGAAAACTCCTCAGGGCAGAGTCTGCGATACCGAAGTTGTATGACCCCAAGTCTCCACATTGAAGCTAACATCACAACAGCTACTATTCTAGCAGCAAAGCACAATCACCGAACAGACTTATCTCTCACTAGGAAACTGCCAATTTCCAAGTTTCTAGAGATAAATCAATCTTCTGATCTTCTCCCAATAAATTTGTAAAACTGAGAGATGGGGAAATAGATAAGGATGATGGTGGGTTGTAACTGAACTAGTGACTTTTTACAGTCCCTTCTAATTCAAAGAGTTTATGATCCCAAGTCTTATTGTAAATAAAAACCAAAAACCCCTATCTATCATAAAGCTTAAGGGAAAGAGAAACATTTCTTTTTTTCTTCTGATGTATTTTGCTCGTTAGACGATCCGGTAGTTTTCCCAATCCCAATCCGTGGACATTTGGCAATGTTTGGAGACATCTTTAGTTGTCACAGTCTGTGTGTGTGTGTGTGTGTGTGTGTGTGTGTGAACACTACTGGCATAAAGTCAATGGAAGCTGCCTGGAAGCTGCCATATATGCCCTACAACGCACGGGACTATTTCCACGCCACCCTCTGACAAAGAATTCGGGGACCCCAAATGTCAACAGTGCCAAGGTTGAGAAAGCCTGAGGCAGTCTAATAAGTGACATAACAACCACACACACCTAAAGTGCAAATGCTTCTTTGATACACTGGTGTTTCTGGAATACCTTAAAACTATGATGTTGAATGTTCAGAAAATATTGGTACAAGAAAGTGAACTGTTATATCTAGTCAGAAAAAGTCCAAGTGACCTGGGAAGTCCCTCTGGGTCTGGGACAACTTTGGATGAGTCACTTTTGTTCCCATGAATGAAATTTACAAACCATTTAAAATAGAGCAAACGGCACTGATATGCAATGATGTATTGTATTTCTGAAACATTCTTCAGGCAAATACTTGATAGTTCTCTAAGTATAATAGACAATTGGAATTGGAAATTGGATAGAGTAATATTGATCCGACCTCCTTGCAAAGTTGTGTCTGAGGATTCCATCATATTACAATCATCAGTCGACCTGCCTGACCTCTATTTGTATTTATCACTATATACCACAGATCCAGCGCAGGAACTTGGTTCCAGTAGGTGCTCAATAAATATTTAAGTAAACTGAGTGGTCGAATGAGTGAACAAATAAAGGGATGAGTCAAAGTGCTCCACAAAATGTAAAGTGCTTTATAAACCCAAGGTAATAGGTAATGCCACAGACCTCATAATATTTGCTCAAAAAACCTTCCTGGGGCAAAAATGTTCAAATGGTTTCAAAAGCAAATAAAACTTGTGATTATATATGTTGTAAGAAAATAAGCTATGAAGATTCTTAGTTTTCAGATATATTTGGGAAGAAATGAAACAAAGGTAGAACAATTTTAAATGACTAAAAATAGTGTTGCTGACAGATGGCACCAGGTAGGGGTGGGAGGGGCGTGCAAAACCAAATAAAGACACTGTAATGGCTAGAACAATGGTTGTCATGAAGATGGTACTATTCTTATGAACATATAGAAGAAGACCGGTCCAAAGTTCTATATTATAAGAAGAGTCAATAGTACAGATAAACTTAGCCTTCAGATGGACTGTGCCTTCTAAGCTCCTTGGTTGGGGTTGGCCTTAAATGCTGATGAAGGGGTGCAGGCAAGAAAAATGGTAACAGAAATTACCAGTTGGGAGTTTTAAGTTCAAGACCCAATTCTGACACTGGGAAAATTACCATATCTTTCCGGGAGTCAATTTTCTGATCTGTAAAATGAAGAGCTTGGGTTAGATGACCTGCCATGATTCTGGCATATGGATGCTGACGCCAAAACACGGTATGGGATGGGAAAGTAAGAGCTAGAGCACCTTTGGGAATTAGTAAAGCTCATTGTAATAAAGTATCTGAAAAAGGCCTGAAGAAATACCAAGTAAAATAACATTTCACAGGAGGAAGAAACCGTAACAACAGGATTGATTTCTTAGTCTTACCTAAGTATTAATTTCTTATCATGGAAGGAAGGTTTCTTGAATCAAGGCATGGATTCTAGCAAAACTTTTTCTCAAATGGGCAACAGACACTAGAGGACATAACCAAGTTGACACTCCTTCAGGACAGGTAATAATGTAAGAACTTTTGGCCCCAGAAACTAATAAATTATACTAATCAGAATATATATTATCTGCATATTAGTATAATTTAAAAGAATAGTCATCTTCTTATTTGCATTTGCAAATTTTTACCGTTCAGAAATTGAGTTCCATGTATTTTTATATTTTAATAAGGCAGCCCCTTATATTTGTGTCACAGGGATAAAATAAATATTTGAAATTATTTATGCTTGAGGTATTTCCTTCTAAAGAGAAGCCTGCTGCTCAGCCCCTGGGCCTCCCTTTGCTGTGAAGAATAAACTGGGAAATCGCAAGAAACTAGAGAGACTCAGTGACTCTACATAATAAGGAATTGAACTAATTTCAGCATACACATAGGGACTCTGTCATGGTGGAGGAGTCAAAGTTGGGAGAGACATGACAGAGGGGAAATACTAAGAGAAAATATTAAGATGGGGAAAAATTGAGCAATTTTTCCTTTGGCATTTTCTTAAGAAAATTTTTTATCGATTTGATTGTCTTTGAATGCTTTTAGGATTGGTGGACTTTTCTTCATCTGAATGCAAATTTGTGCTGAGACTGGACCAAGGCTTTGCTTTATATGGGTTACATTGATGTAAGGTTTTAAAAGCCTGTACGTCTGTACATTTAGTCAATCTGCATAATAATAACCTTACAACGAAGACAGAACAAAAATATTTTTATTTTCCAAAACTGTAAATTGAGACTTATGGAAGTTAAAGTGATTTTCCCAGGATAACATAGCGAAGACTCAAAGCTGTGTCAGCTGGTATTCTTTTCATCATAGCATGCTGCCTCTCTGAGATCAAAAACACTTATATATGCCCAAGAACTACCAAATCTTTGTTTTTTCTTCCTTCTCCTTTTTATTCAAGGAGAGGGAATTAAAAGAAAAGACCTCTACTCTACAGCACTGTATAACAGAATTTTCTGCAGTGATGGCAATGTTCTGTGTTGTCCAATATGGAAGCCAACAAGCCACATGTGGCTATCGAGCATTCAAAATGTGCCTAGTGATGGAAGAACTGAGGGTTTTTTTGAGTTTAATTTTAATTAATTTAAATTTAAATAGCCACATTTGGCTAGTGGATAGGATACTGGACAGAACAACTCTAGAAGCTCCATGTGAGAGAGATCAGCAAATGCTCTAGGTATCTCAAACTAAAATAATAATGGGAGTAAACTGTACTTTATTATTGATCTTTAGTTTTCTGTTTGTTAGTGTATCTTAAAGTCTAAACACTTCATAAACAACCAACATTGTGGTCAGTGCCATCTGGTTGGCTTAAGACATTTTTCTTGACATTTATACCTTTACCTAATCACCACATATTATTTCCTCTGTAGCACCATTTATCAGATTTCTTCAGAAGTCTGTATGTGTTTCTTTGCTGTTCTTAATTTTTTAAAATTGTTATTCTCTCTCTACTGTGTTCATAGTATTTAAGTAATGTACAGATGCACCCCTTCTAATATATAATGTATGTAAAGTCCAAAGCATCAATGTCCATTCTGAATTTCTAGAAACATGGTGTAAGTTTGCTCTTCCTTTGCAGTAAATGGGCACCAGGAACAAACCAGAAATATAAAATAGAATAAAAATTTCATGAAAAAAAAAAGGGATTAGCCAGCCTTTCTCCTTACCACTAAAAGATTCATATACAGCAGAAACTTTTCAGCACCTCTAACTCCTACTTTTGTTAGGAAGTGTTCTCACACTTCCAAAAAGTTTTCCCTATTACTAGGTGCTTTAGTTCATTGAACAATTCAGTTTTATGTCTTGTTCGTTTGTTTCCAGAATTGTCAATTCTTTTAATAGAAAGTGGAATATGAGCTCTGAAGGGAAGAAAGACAACATTACGACTTCAAAGAACTGTGTAAGGAGCTGGATATATACACGAGATTTATATAACTGTCAATCAACTGCTACTGGAAGCCACACCTATCACAAAAGCTAGTGGGAGAAGCGTCATTTTATCCTAAAAGGAATCGTCTATATGTTCCTTATGTCTTTGTAGAATACCAGTTGCACCAGTTACATTGGCAAGTCATTTGGTTATTGCTAATCTGACGAAACCTACTCCACAAGAAATAAGTTGGGATATTTCATATAAACTGAATGCAGATACAGCAGGGAGATTGTCATCACATCCTTCAATTGCCTTGCTTGTCAGGGTTTTTTTTTTTTTTCAATTATTAACTAAGTAGGTTAGGAAAAAATTACTAACCTCATCAGGTATTTAAAAATGTAAAGCAAAATATACGTGATTGAAGACGGTACTAGTTTACGTCAGACAACTGTGAAGATAACATAGGATACTCTGTTAGTAGACTGATGTTGTTCAATGTAGACACTGTGTACAGATGCTAAGCTGTTAGTAAAGTGCTGCTTATAAGACATCTCTGCTTCCTGATACCTGAATCTGCAAATGTTGGACACTGTGCCCTAGGAGAATCTACAGCATCTGGGCACAGGATGTCAGTTTCATGGGTCGAGATGTTGATGAACTTGTACACACAGGACCTGAATTTAAACGTTGGGAGCTCAGTATACGTATTAACCACTTTCCTCCTCAAGCCATGCCTTTCCTTTCCTCATTTGTGGAGAAGTTTCGAAATCTGGATTGTGATTACAAGGCAAAATGACAGATCCATCTAAGGAGCATTTTGCATCTGCTTTATTTAGCCAGGGAGGGAAGGGGTTGATAGGAATGAAAGAGTGGCTCAAATAGGCAGGAAAATGATCGGCACTGTGACTAATTGAGCCACTTTTGCTAAGGGACATAAAAATATTCTAATATTAAGGATTATTTTACAACTCTATGGAAGTATGCAGTAATGCATCTTGCATTTGTTTTGTCTTGATGACAAATGCACTCTTTGAGTCACAAGAGCCTGCCTTGTGTTAGTTATAAACAAAAATATATTTATATATATATTTATGTAACTACTATGTGCTTTAAAGAAAATTACTGTATGATTCAGCAGGGTTCTTTCCTCCTTTTTTATCACCAGGGATATGCTGACTTGAATGGCTTCTTAGACAGGAATTGACAATGACATGGGCCTTAAGTACTGAAATAGCACAAAGTAAAAAGGAAAAAAAACACCCCAAAACCCTCCCCCTACATATGTTTAGACTCCCTTAATGTTTTTGCTTCAAAAACGATTAAGGGACTCTTTGTATTGTTTCCTTCAGCCAAGAGCAACTGTGGCTTCATAGGATTTCATGGTTGGGAAAACGGAGGCAATGTATCTTAAAAAAAAAAATGAACTGTTTTATCTGAGGCAAGAGAACTGAAACTCTCCTTTGCCTCTCCCTCTCTCCTAATCCTTAGCCAAGAGTGTGGTAATTCTGCCACAGCCCATAGGAAGGACACTCATTAACAAGGGAGAAGGAGGCACAGATAAAAGATTATTCTGTAGGATAATGAACTTGTCGGAACAAGTGGATCTAGACCAGAAAAATAAAATCCTTTTGCCACATGTCTGGTGGAAAGAGAGAAAACCCTCTTATTTTAGGTTTGTTTTTTGCTCCTGCATGAGCTGTTTTTCTTAGCAATCTTGAAACATTCATCATTGCTCTTTTGAGAGAAAAGATTCAGGCTTTGGAACACAGTTATCTTTGAGACATCAGAGAAGAATATTTGAACCAAAGGCATAGATCCCTCATGAACTAAAGCTTTATTATTATTGTTTGCTCTCTATCCCTTTGCAACCCTGCACCTAAGCCAATAGCACTGTCATCTTGTCATACTTCTGATAAGTCCACAGGAGATGTTCTGAGTGAACTATAAAATGGTATTCCACTAGGGAATTCTATGTTCAATGGTCAGTGGTACCTTGGATGAGTTTTAGTTTCTCTTTTACCCTTCCAGGGCTGGGCTTGTCCAGAAATCTCATCTCCTTCAGGCTACAGCAGCTTAGGGCTCCTTCGTGTGTGTGCGTGTGTGTGTGTGTGTGTGTGTGTGTGTGTGTGTGTCTTAAAGGTATAGGCAAATTTTTAGTCTTAACACCTGTAAGCCAGCACTGGTGCTGTTCTGTCCTAGAAATTTTAGCACTGCTCTGATACAATGAAACCTTCTTTCTCTCCAACTGGTTCAACTTCGGCATAGGCAGGATGACCAGAGCCTCTTCGAAACTTCATTGCAGGCCATCTGCTTGGGCGTCTCTGAAACAGAAAATGCAAAAATAATGAATACCAGAGTGATGGTCATATCATTAAAAAACATATCTCCCTTCATCTACTTGTTTGGGAGAGAGAGCGTGTCAGCGGCGGGGAGAGGGCAGGGGGGCGGGGGCAGAGGGAGAGGGAGAGAAAATCCTCAAGCTGACTCCTTGCTGAGTGCGGAGCCCGACATGGGGCTGGATCCCACAACCCTGAGATCACGATTTGAGCCAAAACCAAGAGTTCAACACCCAACCCACTGAGCTAACCAGGGGCCCCAGTATTTGCCAAATATTTTAGAGTAACTTCTGAGTTAAATTTAGTAATACATTATCTCACATTACTACCACAGTTGGAATTACACATGCTCAAAGCCCCATGCTTGCATCTTTATTAGGGCATTATTAGCACCTCTCAGGGGGACAGTCCGTTTGCCATAGTGGCCCCATGGGAGTGAGAGCTTCTCAAAGTCACAGTTTATGCCTTCTGCATACTTTTGTCTAAAAGATTCTATAAGTGTCTAACTTGGAAAAAATGAATTTAGTAAAAAATAAGTCTTCTGAATATATAGCCCCTGACATTTCCTCTTCTCTAGAAAATAATATCATTTCACCTTATTTATTAATTCACTCAAAAATGTAAGGCCATACAATTCTGCACAGTTCTTAGAAGCGTGTCTCAAATTTGGCCCTAGACTTTTTAGTAAGCAAAATGAAAGAAAAATCACTTACTATCTTAAGAAATTATTTATTAGGCTGAGACTTCCCGTACAGGACTTTTTGGGCTTAAAAGTTAACAGATGTCATGCCCTGAAAACTGAATCAAACATCAGAGGGCAGAGACAATCTCCAGCCTATGAACTAAATAATGGCACAAGGAGACACTGGTCCTAAAATACAGGTTATTTATTCTGACAAAAGGAGCGCACTTCTCCCCAGCACTCTGTCCATCAGACGAACCTTCTGTGATTTACAAATAGAAGTGCTGATATGAAAATGCATTTTTACGGCCCCAGCGACACTAGAAATATTGCTTTATTTATCAGAGTCTCTGCAATTTTGTAGTATATGAGACAATGCACACTGAAGAAAGTTTATTTCTGTCCAAAATTTATTTCTATTGAAAGAATTTTAATGTGAAAAATGTTAAATATCAATGTAGATAAACTGGCACTTGGCAACCTTCTATATTTGCTAATTCCATTCCATGGACAATGATTAATGGGCGTAGAAGAGTTTTCACATCAGGAAGGAATGAGTATGAGCTCTACTTTCTAGAAAAATACTACTGAAGCAATTACATTCTGACTATTAATAATATTATTTACTGCCTGTATAACATTACGTGGTCAGAATGTTTTATATTTATTAGCTGATTAAGTCCCATGGTGTATGTGAAAAACTGAATTATCCTTATTTTCCAGGAAAAGAAGTTAAAACAAAGAGAGGGCTAAATAGCAAACAGTGTGTCTTTGGTGGAACTAAAAATCATCATCGATGGAAATACACTGAGCATTTTTAGGGAGCTGGGCACTGTAACTCATGATCACTCCTGTCAGTGGAAAAATGCCAATCTGCCACCATGCTCACTATTTAGAACTCCCACTTCGGTTTCAGTTACCTCACAGTGGGGCTTTTGAAGGCATAGCTGCCCTAGTCCTTCTCTGAGTCAAGTAGCACCACTAAGTCTTTGCTCTGAATCTCCATCTTTCCAAGGCCCGCCTGCCATCCAGCTGGCAAGGACAGCCCTGGGAACTAACCCTAATTGACAACCCAGCACATAAAGACATTGTGCCATTAGTGACTTAAAAAGGAGTGCATATTATCATCAAGAAAATAAGGGTAATATGTTAAAGAAAAAAAAGATAGCAGGAAGGGAAAAATGAAGGGGGGGAAATCAGAGGGGGAGAGGAACCATGAGAGACTATGGACTCTGAGAAACAAACTGAGGGTTTTAGAGGGGAGGGGGTGGGGGGATGGGTTAGCCTGGTGATGGATATTAAAGAGGGAACGTTCTGCATGGAGCACTGGGTGTTATACGCAAACAATGAATCATGGAACACTACATCAAAAACTAATGATGCAATGTATGGTGATTAACATAACATAATAAAGTAAAATAAAAAAAACTAATGATGCATTATATGTTGGATAATTGAATTAAGAAAGAAAGAAAGAAAGAAAGAAAAAGAAAGAAGAAAGAAAGAAAGAAGAAAAATAGAAAGAAAGAAAAATAGAAAGAAAGAAAATAAGGCACAACAGGTGCGAGGATATAGTGAAACGGGAAGCCTTATCCACTGCTGGTGGGAATGTAGATTAGTCCAATCACTGTGGAAAACATATGGACGTTCTTCAAAAAGTTAAAAATAGAAAAAAAAAATAGATCTGCCATATGATCCAGCAATTCCAATTCTGCGCATATACCCAAGGGAAATGAGAACAGGAAGTTGATGAGATCTTTGCACTCCCCCATGTTAATCACAGCATTATTCACAATAGCTAAGATGTGGAAACAACCCAAATGCCCACCAATGGATCAATGAATAAAAAAGCTGTACATATACACAATGGAATGTTACTCAGCCATGAAAAAGGAGGATATTCTGCGATTTGCAACAACATGGCTGGACTTTGAGCATATTATGCTAAGCGAGATAAGTCAGAGAAAGACAAGTACTATATGATAGCACTTATATGTGGGATCTAAAAAGGTCAAACATGTTAAAAAAAAACAATTAAATGGTGGTTAACAGGAGATGGGGGCTAGAGGGATAATACCATGGTGTTTCAGGGTACAGACCCAAAATGAGTATTGAGCTACAGAGATCTAATATACAGTATATTGAATATAGACAGTACCATTGTACTATAAGTATATAATGTGATAATAATGTTGCAACCTTATTATATCAATATATCAAAGTAACATGCTGTACCACTTAAATTTATACAATGTTACAGGTCAAATTTATCCAATTAAAGCATTTGTTTTAAATAAAAAGGAGCATAGTTGATGAGAATGATGATGATGATTCTTATAAAAGTTGTATTTTATTAAGCTCTTAGCTGTATTTCATGCTTTATATTAGGCACTTTACTTATATAATCTCATTAAAATGCACAAGTCAATCATTTACATTTTGCACAAACCCATAAAGCTAGCAAGTGGCAGAGCCAAGATTTAAAATGAGATCTACTTACTTCCAAAGTTAATTCTCCTTACTATAAAAATTGATTCTTAAAATTCAGTGGTTTGTGTACGACTCATGTGAAATTTGTGAACATGGTTCTGATTTTATTTCAGTCTTAAAAATATAACTAGCAACTTTAGTATTCTGTTAGTAAGTCATAATTACTAATTAATAATTTTCTGTCTTAGGTGAAAGATTGGAGGATTACTGGTAATGTTTATCATGTACTTTGTGAGCTCATCACAGAGGTACTCAAAATAGAAAGTATAAAAATGCTGGGAAGTGAAGTTTCTTAACATGGTACAAACTTATTTTCTGAATTAACTGCATATCCTTAAGGAAAATTTCTCTTGATTTATTACTACTCATTGTAGGGAAAAAAAAAAAAGAAATACCCCAACAAGATTTAAAATTACTAGAGATCTCACCATTTACACATACTTTGGTTCAACTATCAGTGGACATCACTTATATACATTTCTAGGAACAATTAAATCACTGTACATACTATTTTATAAAATCATTTTTTTGCACTTAAGGACACACTGAAAAAATTTATGAACTATCTCTGTACAAAATTATTTTAAATGTCTGTAGAGCATTACTCATAACTAAATCATGATTTATATAGTCAATTTGATTTGGAGTTTTTTTCCAAATTTTTTGACAATATAAATAATTTTACAATGAATATCTTTGCTGATAACCTGATGGGAATATCTCCAGTCAGTTCCTTTTATAAACTCTCAAAAGTGGAATTACTGGGTCAAAAGAGAACACACAAATTATTTACTAAACACTTGAAATTTCTAGTATGGTGCTAGATGCTGAGTTGAAGGACACACGACCAAAGAAAGGTATAGATGTGGTTTCCACATGGAAGATAAAACCATTTCAGAAGAAAGGGATTTTCAATGTAGGTTGAAAAGGTGAGAAAATACACTGAGGAATTAACATAGGTGTCAACGATTCTAAAGATGAACAAAGTAGAATAGGTATAATCTTACTACAAAATTATTCACCACTAGTATTTTATTTGTGCAAAAGTAAAAAAAATTATAATTACTTCTATAGATTTTGACTAGATTAAAAGAAACGGTATTTCCCCCTGCCCCCATAATAATACCTTAAAATTTATAACAAAATCTAACAAATGTCAGGTACTGGGTTCTTAAGAATTTGATGTGATTTTATGTTTTTTGACAATTCCTTGATACCTCAATGTTAGCCCAAAAAAGGCTGAACGAAGAGAAATAACTTTACCAAAATTCTGCTTCCTTTCTAAAATGCTTTCACATATCACAAATCAACTAATGATCTTAAAGAAATCACTTTGTTTCCTCATGTGGAAACTAGTATCTGAGGGTTTGTCCGCTAAAATTGTAGGATCCTCATACCTGCTTGCCTGAGGTTAACTGACTTTACCACTGGGGAGATGATAATGATTTGAAAAACTTTTCAAGTTCTTCTGTCATCGTCCCTCTTGTCTCCCTCCGCTAACTTTTAGGACTTCTAGATTTACAAGAAATCTGTATAAGTTAGTCCTAACTGAAATTGCTTTTCTATGTCAGTCTGCAGTTCAGAGATCTCCTTATGAATGAAAAAAACGGAGCAATTCTATGACTGTAATGGAATGAGTGAAGATTTAGTTCTTATAGAAAAATCTTGAATGTTGGTCGTAGAATATGAGGCATCTATCCAGAAGACAAAGACATCTAGAAATTTGGGCATGATGTCTGGCTCTGCGATGAAGTGTGATGGGTCATAACCTGGCATTTATACTTCTTTCTCGAGGTTTAGATATGTTCAAATC